CTGCCCCGGCTGGGGGCACAGGGCTGCGAGGAGGCAGCCCCAGGTGCTGCCAGGGGGTCAGGACTGGGAGAAGGGGGCATGTGGGTGTGGGCATGCACCTCCTCGTATTTGCGGTCAGCCTCCTCTGCTATGTGCTTTGCCTCCTTCAGTTGCATTTCCTGGAGCTCCATCTTCTCCTCATCCTTCATGGCCCTGTTTTCGATGACCTTCATGCCTCTGAGGAAAGCCCAAGTCAGAAGATGTTACTGCCGTGGGTTGAGGTGGCACCTGCACCTCCTGCCTGCTCACTGTACCCACCCGCCAGCTCCAGAGACGTGGGACATCACGTGGGGATGCTGGCACTCGCTGGCCACCCCACGCAGTAGGGTCACACCAGTACGGGAGCAAGGATGCTCCTGTGCACAACTGAAGCAGCGGAGCTGGCCCCAGGGCCATGTTCCAGAGTGAGGAGATGTGGCTACAGTGCCTCTCAACCAGGCAGGTCCTGAACTCATCATTTGGGGGGGGAAAATGTGTGCAGCCCAGGATGAGACAGCCGCAACGTCCACAAAAGCAGCCTGACAGGCCAGCAACCTTTACGGAATGCTAGAAAACCTCCTGTAGCAAAGCCTTTTCCCATTCAGGGGCGATGCTCACAAACAGGGGTCACCGAACCCCTGTGAATCCCTGCGGCAGGGACTCCTGTGGACACTCTTCTCCTCTCGCTCAGATGCTGTTGCTCAAACTGGTCTTTGGCAATGGAAGGAAGAGCTCACGCAACTGTCAGGAATGCTGTGACACGTCTGGGCACTCCCATACAACCTGAATGCCCTCGCCTGCCCGGCTCCTGCCTGGGAAACCTGCTTGCTGCAAGGATGGGGCAACACACTTTGCAGGGCTGTTTGTTTGAATGCGGCTCATTCGTTCTCAAAAGCTGACTTTGGTTCCCAGGCACAGATGCCCCCTCCTCGGCTGTTGTTCAGCCCTTGAACATAGGAAGCTACTCTGGGGCAGAAAACAGGCTCCAAGCACCCTCTGGCTTTGGTTACAGCCTGGTATTTGTATTAACACCAGAGCAGATTTTTCAGGATTTTATGGGTGCCCTGGAAATTTCAAAGCCTTTTTAAGAACGCCTGTGTCTGGGGGACTTCTCTGCGTTGTGGCTTTGCTCTCTCCCTTTGAGGTCTGCAGGAAAACCAACGCCAACCCGCAGAAGGACCCCACTGCGAAACCAAGGGGGCTGCCTGCAATCAGTGATGACCCAATGCCACCCCCGCTGTCCCTTCCTATCACACCTCTCGCTCTCATCAGCCGCCTTCTCAGCCTCCTCCAGCTTCTGCAGGGCGGTAGCCAGGCGCTCCTGGGCTCGGTCCAGCTCCTCCTCCACCTTTTTTTCCAGAAAAGCCACTTCAGCCTCAGCCTGGGGGAACAGAAACCCCTCGGTCACTCCATGTCTCATATATGTATATATCTCTAAAAAGCATTTTCAGCGGTTACTTCTGCATTTGCTATCCAGAACACCCCTTGGCACCGTGCAACAAGGCAGCACTCCCTGGAATGGGATGCCCGACCACGCATCCCCTTGCCTTTCTATAGGGCCAGCGGGGTTTTCTCCATTCCTAGTGCCCTGTTTGATGCTGGCTCCTCCCGGCCACACAACCAGAGCCCACCACGTGCAGCCCCTCCACCGCGTCCTCGCACCTCCAGCTCCAGCCCTGGAGAGGAACGAGGCGTGTTTGCCAGGGTAGGGTGGCCGGAGCAGCCGTGCTGTCACGGGGATGGTATTTGGGGTTTGCAGAACAGTGAGTAAAGGGGGAGGAATGCCCTGTGTGGCTTCGCTCCCGAAAAGGAGATCGGAGCTGCTTGTGGATTTCCTGTTTACGGAGGCGGCGGAGCG